CTTTGCATCGTTTTGATGTCTTCCCCTACATTCAGTACATAGGATCCTGCCATAGAATAGGAATGCTCTGTGAATTCTCATAGGGGGCTGCAGAGAATTTCCAGTGGAGTGGATATAATGTACTCTGGTGAATCTGTACCTGGGTTGCAATAAGCAGGGGCTTGCGTTGCTATAGAATGGAGAGGCCTTGTCATTTCTGACTGTCATACATTCCTTGGTCTTTGCTGTAAGAGTAGAATGGGCTGTGGGTTCTTCATGGTATTCACCAGAGCTACAGTCTGCCTACTTGGATTGCTTATTTGGTTTAAATTAGATGAGGTATCATTCTCTGCCTGATTTTGAATTGCTTGAGTGTGGTGGTTCAGGATCCCCTCACTCTGGCTCTGGTGATTTTTTTTTTCTCAAGCTGCTCCATTCTGAGCTAATTGTAAGTGGTGGATCAGTGTCCTTTGATCCATAGCAGCCTGCATTGCAGTATTTCCAGTCTGGAGGTTGGAAACCCATGCATCCAGTTCCTGTTTTAGTTTTATTGATGAAATAGTATGCATTCTTGCCTCTCTCCTAATCTGTTTTTAGGGATTGCATTTATCACAAATTCCTGGCTTGAAATGCTTTTGAAGTTTTGAAATGTCAACCCCAATTTGAATTCTATGGTAGACTCATCTCCAGCAATCTGGTGTTTTAATTTTCTAATATGGGGTTTGAAAGCTAGAAACAAAGGTATTTAACTAATAACCTTTTGTAACACTAACATATCAGATGTTGTCTGCCTGCTTGTAATCACCCAGAAACATTATGTTAAATGAAGCATTTGTCACTTTTTCATAGGAAAGGAAAAAGATGGTTAAAGAAGCCCAAAGAGAAAAAAGGAAAAACAAAATCCCAAAGCATGTGAAGAAGCGGAAAGAAAAGACAGCAAAAATGAAGAAAGGCAAATAAATCAGCTTTGATGTTTTAGTAGCAAGGTGGAAATTACAGCTGATTGATCTCCTTCAGTTTTTTTATATTTTTACTTTGTGTTGAGAGAAACTCTGAATTCACCTTGATTGTGGGTTTTTGATGGGATGCAGTGTGTACTGCAGACTGGATTGAGTACTCCTGTGTATATGTAAAGCCTTTACCATAATGTGGTAGCTCTTCTTCCACTTTGTGAACTGTGCAGAAGAGGGAAATTCTTTATGGTATTAACCCAATACAAAAGAAGAGAAATATGCAATTTTGTATGTTTCTCTTTCAAGCAGAGGAAAATCTTAATAGTGGTATGGATATCCAGTTTTATGCCACTGACATCATGATCTGCATTTTTCATTCTTGTAGGGCCTGAAGATAGGCCCACAAATCCTTATTCAGATGCCTGCAGAAGAGTCTGATCCCAGTAAATTTCAGTGGCAAAACTGCCATTAACTACTATGGATTTTACTTTGAATAGCCTCTTTTTCCTGCTTCCCACCCCCACCTCCCAAGGTACTAGGTGCTATGAATGATAAGCATCTCTGAAAAACCAAGCTGCATATTTAGGTCTCTAGATATGAGGTCAAGTACCTGGTATTAGTGACCTCTGAAGTTTAAAAATGTTGATACAATTTTTAAGTACTTCAGTGAGAAATTCTCTACCAGCTAAGACTCATTTCATATGGTTAATGTCAGCTGACTGCCAGCTGCTAAGAAGTGTCATCTCTTCTTTAGCTTCTAAGAATTCTTCAATGTCAATGGCTAACCCACTGCAGCTGTCTTTCAGTGCTCGTTGAGTCTTTTAGTGGTACAATTTTAACATCCAGATGTTCATCTTTACTGAGGTTACAACTTAAACGGTGGCTTCTTTGTTGCTGTGGCTTTGCACCATCCATCTATGAAAACAAAACTTGTTATATTGTTGCTAAAATAATATTTCAAAATACAAGCATAATGCTTTGTTACCAGTATCCTTTTAAAAACAGATTTTAATCGGGTTCTAAAGCCCAATTAACATGACTCTTAAGCAGATGCGGTACAAAGCTTATTTAATTAAAGTTGCTTTCATTCTCCTCTCTGGCTAAATGAATAACACAAATATAAGCATTTGGTTCAAACAACTGTGCTGCATTATATTTTAAGTTTGTAAATGATGCTACGTTTTCATTAAAAGCACTTGTCATGTGCCACACACAGGTATGCTGCAAGGTAGCCACATCTGATGCAGAGTCTAGGCCTGCAGAGTCCTCGGTACCCACAGCTCCTATTCTCCATTGACTCAGATAAGCAAGGCCTAAAAACTTAGTCTATTCAACTTGCTGTACTTCCATCTCCTGCAACCAAGCTCTGTTAAGGGGTTTCATGCAGGGCACCCTTTCCCCACTGAGAATTTAGGCTAAAATCTTGAATGGCATCCAAGAGGAGTAAACATAAGTGATGTCTACACTTATACTATCTAGAGTAACAGTGTGCTTGGGATATTACCCCTGGGATTCAAGATGTGAGCCAACAGCTAACCATCTGGACTTGTGGAATTGGGGGGGGCTTTCCCTAATGGGCATATTGTTTGCATATAGTTGAAGATAGTAGGTTTTTAAAATTCCTTGCTACTGTACTCGGGTGTGCCATGTGCTTCATTGAGGGAAAGTTGGGTGCTGGACTTAACAAATCTGACCTGACTTGGCTTGGGAATTTATATGACACTCCAGTTCTACATGAGTTAAGCCAGGTCATATTCCATCTTGCTCAAGTATATGAGAAACAACACAAAACATGGTTGGGTTGTCTTGCTCTTTACTTTCTGCCTCTTGGCATTAAGGCTAAGATAAAAGTGTGTTACAAAAGTAGAGGCTTTGGTGGCTTGAGCAGGGTGAAATAGGATCATGCTGAAGCACCTGAAGCCAGTTGAACTAGAGGTGGAATAAAATCTGGTCCCTTGCCTTACCGGTGGTTGTGTCTTGTAAATTCAGTTGTCATATAAAGACAGGTTTGGGCTGGGTATCAATGCATGGCTTCTCTTGCACATTAGATACAGGCTCTGTTTGTTTAACTGTTGCACAGATGCACTGGAAGGTAGAGGCGTGCAGATGACTTCTCCCTGGCAAAGCCAGTAAAACCAGCTTTGCATATAAGGATGTGCCGATGTGAAGGTTTCTGCTATGCTGAAATGATATTTAGATGAAACAATGCAAAACTAGCTCTGACTGGCCTCTGTTGTACTGCTGCATGCTTGCTGCTGGCAGCAGTCATTCATTCAAAAGCCACACCTAGAATATTCCAAAAAAGAAACGAGCCCTAATGTTTTAAGAAACCATAGCCTGTCCTGTAATCTATCACTAACAGCTGATGGTGAGGGCAAAGGATTAAAGGAGACCTCTCAGTAGCCCGTTTGCAGGTACAGATATTTCCACAGCAGGAGAAAAGTGAACATTCAGTCATGTCTCTAAAAGTGGTGCTTGCAGTCCACTGGGTGTGTGGTATGAAACAAGACACGCAGGCCAACTGGCTCTTCCAGCCCTGCCACCTCCTGCTCTGCAGAGCCTAACCCCCTCCGGTTCAGCTGCAGAGAAGATTTAACAATGCCAGGGGGAGGGGAAAAGCATGCCAAGGCCTTTTCACCCTATCGCCTAACTGCCCAGTTTTGCTCCCCACTACTTGAAAAGGGAGCAGAATGAGGTATTGGGCCCTTAATTATTCAGATGCAACAGTGATAGGGAGAAATAAAGCACGTAGATCACCATTTTGATGATTATTCAAAGAGATGATGATTTTATATATCGTGTGTGGCTTCTCTCACATATTAGATACAGACTGGGTTTATTTAACTGTTGCACAGACTAAATGATTATATATAATAATCTTAGAAATGAAATGGGAATTGCATGTTTCCTAGAAAATTTTTCTTCTGTAAAAAAAAATACATATATATACACACACACATACATACATACATATATATGTATAGCATACTCCCTCTGAGAGCTTAAATGTCCATCTTTAAAGCAGCATTTGATTTCCATAGTGAAAAGAAGGTCCTCTAGTCTAGCAGCTAGTTTTAATTTCCTAGTATGACTGTTTGTTTTTAACTTGTGATCATTTTTACTTCCTCTAGGGGGAGGCACAAGTTCTTGATCCTAATATGCTGGAAACAATGTATATGGGCTGCATTTGGGGAAGTTTTTTACCTGCAAGGGTTTTGTTTTTTTTATTTAGTTGTAGCCCTTTGAAAATCCAGAGATTAGTTCTGTTGTCTTAAAGAAAGTGAAACACTATTCATTCTATGGGACCTTGGTGTGAGGATTACATATTCAGATCCAGTATAATTAAGAGTGAATGCAGGCTCGGTTTTGACATGTACTTCAGACATGCCAATGCTGCAGTGCTTGAGTCTTGTTAAACTGGTTTAGACTAGTATAAAAAGAACAAGCCCTTTTCAGAAGATGAATTTGAGTCCAGACTTTGATTTCAACACCCTGAAGTCTGTAGGTTTCAGATATAAAGTCTTCAGGTCTCTGTTAGTGAATGAAAAGTGGTAATAAGGTTTGAAATTGCAAATATGTAGATAATTTATTAAGTGTGTGTATATGCTTACTCACTATCATTGTATGATCAAACAGAGAGACTTTGTCCATACGACAGCTCTCAGAGCAAAAGAATGCAATGCTAGGATTTGGGAGATACAGTCCACAAATTGCAACTTTCTGTGCAAGAAACTAGCAAATGATCCCTGTGCCATGATCTTGAGTAATGCACATGGCTCCCATGCTACACCGTGTCCTGCAAGCCCCCAATATTTGACTGTTGCTTATTTACGCACAGTTAGTGAACAGTCTTAGGGCCACATGTGTCAAGCCCTCATCTGTCTGCTCTTTGCAGAGCTGGTTTTGTGATACTTTTTTCATAAAGGAGCATTTAAAATTTAAACAATAAAAACATGTTTAAGTTTACTTCAGGGAAAATTTTACACAACGTGTGAGACCTAAAGTAACATCTTTTGTGTATGTTATAAACTCTGTGACATCTGTTTAAAAAGAAAAAACAAAAAAAAACTAGTGTGTTATCCCTGTCTGAGCTAAACTTTTCTTTCTCAAGCCCTGCTGTTGGGTGGCACATTGCACAGTGCTTGGCTGCTTGCTTTCCCTCCCCTGTGGACATGCCTGTACTTCAAGCAGAACAGCATCAGCAGATTCCAATCTTGCAAATACCTTATGTGTATGAGTAAGCTGGACTAAAATGGGGTCCCTCACATGCATAAAGTAACTTGCTTTCAGAAGTAAGAGCAAGATCACGACTAGAATTGCTGTAAACGCATGACAGCTTTCATAGCTCTGTCGCAGCAATGCTTTCATTTCAAACGATAGAGCAGTCGCACAGTGTAACGTAAATGAAGTGCTATTGTGGGCTTGGCAGGTAGCTGTTGCTTTTGGCTTCACTGTTGCCCTAGTGCTGCAGAAACTTGTGGGTATTACTCAGTGCTTTGTCATAAACTTGTGTATATGCAATAAGTACAGGCTTATCTCTGCCTTCCCTTGCCTGCTTCATCCTATACAACCATGTTCTGGGCCTACTGAGGGCTAGTTCTACATGAGGGAGGAACGAAGGAGGCATGTAGACTAATTTCAGGGCAGTTTCAATTTGATCAGGAGACCACTCCATGTGGGGGGAATGCAGATGAGATGGCCGGTTTTGAAGTTATTTCTCTGTTGTGGCAAACAGCTGTACAGCATGGAGCAAAGAATTGCAATGTGAAACAGGTATGGTACAAAAGAAAGACTTGATTCAAGGTAGTTGGCATCCTCAATTCCCATTGCTGCTAATAGGCATAGAAGGCAGGACTGGGCATAATACATTGATGCAAAAGTGACTACGGTATGTTCAAAGCCTGCTAAGAGACTTAGATTGATGGGACCTGTGTGGCCAACTCCCCTGGACTTCTTTAAAAACTATGTTTTAATTGGGTTTGAAAGGGGTAATTCTGGGGAGAGAGTTGCGGATGCTTCACTGAACAGCCTGCCTCCGAGATGAGAAAAAAAGATTGGCGAAATGGAAGATACCACCTTTTAAACCTGTATTTTCTGTAAATGTGATGGGCCACATGGCTTGGTGCTTTTGCTTAGTGTTTAATCAGTGAACAGAAAAGTAGAAAGGAAATGGAACTGCAATCAGCCTGAAAATAAATCAAACTGACCTGTAATTAACATCTACAACTTTTAAGACTAAATTATTTTATTTTTTAGAAGGTTGTAGAAGAATTTTGAATGCATTCCTTCACTTATTTCCCATATATTAAAACGGGGGGGCAGTAAAACTCTTTGGGATGTGGTCACTATTAGAACAGACAGTGTAGACAGTGCATGTGCTCGACCAGAGGTAGCCAGCCTGCAGTATGCATGGCATAAGTGGCATGGGCAGCCTCTGCATGTGCCACATGGCAGATCAGGGAAGGGACCTGCAGCATGGTGGCAGGTAGGCCAGGAAGCAAAAGGCAGAGCAGGAGATCAGGCAGGGAGCAGAAACAGCGGCAGACCAGGCAAGGGAAGGGGATCTAAGTGGCATGCAGGGCTAATTCATGGGATGCCTGACAAAAAGGTTGACCTGCACTTTGATAGACCACCAGCTTTATTGTTGGTTATCCAAGAATACCTGTTGGTAATGACACTGGCTGCACACATGGAAAACAGATCATCATTATATGAAAATATGAAGAGTGCAATCATTTAGGAACTAGCTCTGTATGACTTGCCAGTTCTGTATCTGGACAGGCCATCAACCACAGTTAGACCAGCTATCGACCTGTTATGTGTATCCTGCAGCTATCGACTTGTTATGTATACCACTAAGAGAACATTGCTCAAAAGATATTAGCAGTCAACATGCCATTTGCTTTGAGACACACTTGTTTTGAAATATAATAAGGAGCGGCTTGAGATGCTGCTGTGGAACAACGGCAATTAGGTGGGGCTCTTTGAACCAGTGGGAAAACCTGAGGTACTAGGACAGCAGAAACAGAAAGTGATGAAAACAGCTTTCCAGTGGTGGGGGAATCTTCTAAAAAAAGAAGAAAATTGTTGCTGCTATCTGTGAAGAGGTGGAAGCTCTCATAGGTTTTTAGACTTGCATTTGCGTATTTAGAAGAGGTGAGGGAGACCACAGGAGGATTTACATACACACACGCACACACACACACAGATTGCCTAGAGCAGCCAGGTACTATAATGAGGGCTTACGTGTCTTAGACTTATGCTTCAAGCTTCTGCCACCATAGCTGTGTCAGTCCAGGCTGTAAAGAGGTGCATCCCTGCATGATGCAGGTGTATCAGCCAGAACCTCTGCTGTAGTGCTAAAACAATGGTTCTCAACCTTTTTAGACTCAAGGCATCCCTCGCTAGACTCAAGATCCCCTTCCATAACTTTTGCTTAGCTATTGCCATGCTTACCTCCTTGCAGAGGGGACAGGTGGAGCAAGCCTGAGCCTGTGTTTATTCTGTTTTACCTCCCCACATCTGATTTACCTCCTCATATCTTGATCGCTCTTCAAAGACTTTTGTTGCACCCTGGTCGAGAATCACTGTGGTAGAAGCACAGTTTTGCTGATATAACTTCTTTCATTGTGGGAGTGTTTGTGCTATGCATGCCAGCAGAGTTAAGTTTTGGTAATAAAAGTAGTGTGCACTTTAGGTACACTTTGCCCATCCAGTGTACCAGCATTTCCTTGGTGCTAAAGCACACCAAGTGTCAATGGCCTTGAATTTAAACTGCACACTGCATTGGACAGACCACCTGTGCCAAATGGCAAATATGACCGTTGTACTAAGGTGCTTTCCAGATGCAATCAGAAGTATCACAGCACTTTGTGAAAGAGCAGATGGAAATACACTGAGTCCTTGTGTTAAATCACTGGGTCCTTGGTTTAATACTGCTTAGTTTTAAAAATAATATGAGCT